TGTTTTGTAGATTCAGTTATAGGCCACAATATAAAAGTAATGTAAAAGATAAGCACCATGTAAATTCCAGAACTGCAGTGCTTTTTCATTCATTTGTGATCTTGATCTACATAACCAATGGTGTGGGATGTGTGGACTCATACTGACATTAGACTACTTTTGAGGTCTTAAAAACATTTGACAAATGTTGTTTTTGGAGTCTAATGTCCCTTTAAATGTTAGATGCACCATCTGCTCTTGGTGTGTGGGTGACTATATTATAGAAATGGCCATAAATTACTAAAGCGGCACTGTCTAAAACATCTCTGCCTGAAAGGACAGTCAATTTCATCGTAAACCTTATTGAAGAGATAAAGTGCTGCAATGTATTGCAGCATTTACGCTACTAACCAGGTACAGTGCCTTCAGAAAATATTCACACCCCTTTTCCTTTGCCACATTTTGTTTAAAATTAATTGGATTGCGATTTTTTTTTTTTGTCACTGGCCTGCACAGAATACCCCATAATGTCAAAGTGGAATGATGGTTTTCGAAATGTTTACAGATTAATTAAAAATGAAAAGCTGAAATGTCTTGAGTCAATAAACCCTTTGTTATGGCAAGCCTAAATAAGTTCAGGAGTAAAAATGTCCTTAACAAGTCACATAATAAGTTGCATGGATTCACTCTGTGTGCAATAATAGTGTTTAACATGATTTTTGAATGACTACCTCATTTCTGTACCCCACAAATACAATTATATGTAAGGTCCCTCAGTTGAGCAGTGAATTCAAACACAGATTCAACCACAAAGACCAGGGATGTCTTCCAATGCCTCGCAAATAATCCCACCTACAGTATTGGTAGATAGATAAATAAAAAAGCAGACATTCAATATCCATTTGAGCATGGTGAAGTTATTAATTACACTTTGGGTGGTGTATCAATACACCCAGTCACTACAACGATACAGGCATCCTTCCTAACTCAGTTGCTGGAGAGGAAGGAAACTGCTCAGGGATTTCACCATGAAGCCAATGGTGACTAAAAACAGTTACAGAGTTTAATGGCTGTGATAGGAGAATACTGAGTATGGATCAACAACATTTTAGTTACTCCACAATACTAACCTAATTCACAGAGTGAAAAGAAGGAAGCCTGTAAAGAATAAAAATATGCCAAAACATGCATCCTGTTTGCAACAAGGCACTAAAGTAATACTGCAAGAAATGTGGCAAAAAATTACTTTTTGTCCTGAATACAAAGTGTTATGTTTGGGGCAAAAAACATTAAATATACAAACAAAAACACAAAACATTATTGAGTACCACTCTCCATGTTTTCAAGCATAGTGGTGGCTGCATCATGTTATGGGTATGCTTGTAATCATCAAGGACTGGGGGGTCTTTCAGGATAAAAAAACAAACAGAATGGAGCTAAGCACAGGCAAAATCCAAGAGGAAAACCTGGTTCAGTCTGCTTTCCACCAGACACTGGGATATGAATTCACCTTTCAGCAGGACAATAACCTAAAACACAAGGCCAAATCTACACTGGAGTTGCTTACCAAGAAGACAGTAAATGTTCCTGAGTGGCTGAGTTACAGTTTTGACTTAAATCTACAGTACTTTAAAATCTATGGCAAGACCTGAAAATAGTGTTTAGCAATGATTAACAACCAATTTGACAGAGCTTGAAGAATTTAGAAAATAATAATGGGCAAATGTTGCACAATCCAGGTGTGCAAAGCTCTTAGAGACTTACCCAGAAAGACTCACAGCTGTAATCGCTGCCAAAGATTCTACAAAGTATTGACTCAGGTGTGTGAATACTTATGTAAATGAGATATTCCTGTTTTTCATTTTCAATAAATTTGAAAACGTTTCTAAAAACATGTTTTCACTTTGTCATTATGGGGTATTATGTGTAGATGAGTGAGAAAAAAAATATATTTAATCAATTTTGAATTCAGGCTGTAACAACTAAATGTGGAATATGTCAAGGGGTATGAATACTTTTTGAAGTCACAGTATTTAAGGTTGCATTGTAAATACACTATTCAGAATCATATGAGCCTTCAGTGTTGTAAATAATTAATCTAAGAACATTTCATGTGTTCTGTGTAACCCAAATGTTACAAGTTTATAAATACTGTACAATTTTTTATCTATTTTATCTTTTTATAGTGAGATTTCAATGGGTATTGGAAGGTGAATTGTTTCTGTGGTTTTTAATGAGAATAATTGCGTTTGTAAGACTTGATTTAACTATTAAATGTGAAGACAACATATCCCTTTCTTGTGCCTTTTTTCTGTCTTCTTCCACTCCTCCCTCCTCCATCGTTCATCTCTCCATCATCTTAAACACACATCTCAGTCACCATCTTGACCTCTTTCCAGCTCTGTCTCCACTGTCTCCCACATGTTAGCACCTTCCACTACAAAATGTAGAGCTTGGCGAATGTTGCTGAAGTTGATAAGACACACAAACCTTGGATTCAAACTGACACAAACCTTGGATTCAAACTGACACAAGCCTTGGATTCAAACTGTGATCACCATCTCTAACATCGTCCAATTTAAACAAACCCCCCACCTTCCCCACCACCACCTCAGCCCGCCCTTCCCACAAGTTTTTTATTCCATCTAGCATACTAAAGTAATTCCAGTCTGGTCCTCGTGTAGGCCTATCATGTGTCTCTATAAATGCCACACACACTGTTACTCATGTCTCACCCCGACTCTGGTGACTGCTCCTGTGGTACGGGTTCCAGACGATTGGTGGTGGGGTCTATGCTGTGTTAACCTCTACCCCCGTTCTCCCCCTTCCTGTCCTGGCCCACTTCTCATGCAGCCCCGAAACACGAACCAACCGTCGCTAGACACCTGACACTCGGCCCAAGCTGTATATATAACATGTTAATCATTTTCAAACGGCGCCGTTGCTCGCTTCTGAAAGAGTGTGTGTGTGGGGGTCCGGTGGTGGGAGTGTTTCTCTGAAATCCTGTTTTTGAAGTGTGTGTGTTTGTGTGTCTGTGTGTGTGTGTCTGTGTGTGCATGTCGGTGTGGGTAAGTGAAGTGAGTGTGTCTAATCGTTTACAATGCATTTGCTTGCAAGTGTGTTTAGCCTGTATATGCATGAGTCTGTCTGTCTGTGTGTGTGTGTGTGTGTGTGTGTGTGTGTGTGTGTGTGTGTGTGTGTGTGTGTGTGTGTGTGTGTGTGTGTGTGTGTGTGTGTGTGTGTGTGTGTGTGTGTGTGATGGTGATCATGGGTGTTTACGACCTTTTGTGTGTGTGTCAGCAAGGAGGTAATAAGAAGAGGTAATAAGAAGAACTGGCCTCTCTTGACATTACCAAAATTTAGGAGGCTCCACCACCTCGTAACTTACCTTGTTATGAATTTCGCACTGAGCCAGCAGGGATCACAGGTCTCCTGTCCCTGTCACTGGTCCCTATTCCTGTTGGGGTGATTTCTAGCACGAGGGGCACATTACAAATGTTCACACTATCGTGCCAACACGACCCAAGGTATATTCCTTTCACATGTTCCTTTATAGCACGGTTCCAGGAACTATGGTTGATGCGTAACCAGACCAGCACAGTACAGCATGGCTTTCTGAGGGAAAAAGGCCCACAGAGACTGCAGCACCAGGGTTGTGTTCAGTACGGAAAAAGTTATGAAACAGGGAGATATTACCTGACTTTGTCCAATAAGAAACACTCAAACGTTTTAAAACATTTTGCTACAGTGTGCCCTACTGAACACAACCCAGGGCTCCCCAGAGAGAAAATACTAATTAAACTCCCCAGCTAAATCACACATTAACTGTGCACTCCATGCTGTTGAACAAATAGAGCATCCCCCTCCCTAGCTCCCTTCATCCTCCAAATTCTTTGCTTTAATGAGATTAAAACAGTCACTTTCCCCCTGAGCAGATAGTCTTCATCATGTCCACCCCAAGAGTGAAGAGATTCAGTGTTATTCAATTATTATTATATTAATTAAATGTATTTGTAGTCACGTGTTAAGGAATTCTGCTGCTTTTCTGGGCCTGTGTCTCTCTTAGCCTCAGCATTCATCTCTGTGACCTCTGACCCAATATCAACTGGACAATCAAGGTCACCTGTTAAGGTATTGAAGAAACATTACACTCCAAAATCAAGTTTTTCTGATGTTTTCTGTGACCTCAAAAGTGGTCATCTGTTGAGATGAGTCCATGTCCCATGCTATATATGAATGGAAAAGATGAGCACCATTTAATTTCCAAACATATTTACATTCATTTGTAGTATTACCATCTTGTTAAGATGTTTAATAACACACTCCACACAACACATTTTCATATATAACTTTATTGAATATATTATATATATATTTTTAGGCTCATAATTTTGTATTGCTTACCCATCACAAATGTCCTTAGTTTGATTAATGTGCAGTAGAGTAGAAATATCATGTATTATGAAGAGATTGTTGTCTTCTTCAATCACAAGAGCATAGGGTCTCAGCCCCCTAACCCCAAGGTAGGATCTTTAAAGCAGTGGATCTCAACTGGTTTTTTCTCGGGACCCAAATTAACCCAGGTTGTCTCAGTCACGACCCAGTATTTGCATTGCAAAATAAAATATGTGAAAATGCAAACTGTAAAAGTATTTTTAAGTCCATATTCATAGTAATTGTAGAAATTATATGACAAAGGCTCTGTCGCAGCCGGCCGCGACCAGGAGACTCATGGGCGGCGCACAATTGGCCCAGCGTCGTCCAGGGTAGGGGAGGGAATGGCCGGCAGGGATGTAGCTCAGTTGATAGAGCATGGCGTTTGCAACGCCAGGGTTGTGGGTTCGTTTCCCACGGGGGGCCAGTATAAAAAAATATGTATTCACTAACTGTAAGTCGCTCTGGATAAGAGCGTCTGCTAAATGACTAAAATGTAAATGTAAATGTAAAGGAAATTAGTCAAATTTGCCCATATTCTTGACGAAGAATGTTAATAAACTCACTGGTTTAAGACCACAAAATCAACCAAATCCGCTAAATAGTGCTGCTCTATATTGAAAATACTATGATTGAAGAAAAATTATTCAGAGATTAAATTATTAAATCACTTTCTATCTGGTTTGGGTCGCAACCCACCAGTTGAGAATCACTTCTTTAAAGAATAACATTAAGAATATATACCATCACTAAAATAAATAGATTCATATAAAGTCTATAATCTACTACACTTGTCAGGAAGAATAAAAAACACAAATTAGGCTATGTTGGTTATACCTGTATTAACAAAACAATAGCCTTAAAAATGGGATGATAACAATAATTATAACAATAATAGTGACAGTAATAATAATAGTCAAATCAAATATATTTGATATCAAATACAAAATTACACTCATAATTTGCGCACGTGCTTTCCGCATGACGCCATCAGATTGAATGTGATGCAGCTAGAAATGACTGAAAATTCTAAACTTTAAAGAAATAGAAAAATAGAAAAATCATAGTTCAAAATGTACAAATGTACCCTTCATTTACGATTACGAGAATAAAAACAACAGCAATGTGATACTATTCAAGAAGTTACAATCTTTACAGTCGTGTAACCTGGCTATGATAATCAAGCACTCGGAATGATAAGATAACCCAAAGTTTACAACTATAGACATATTGTGCATTTCAAAATGAATATATATTCAATAATATTGTTAATAATACATTTTATATTCTAGTCAGTGGAATAGATATATTAATAGTAGTCAAAAACAGACTGAGATGGAGTGATAGGGCAGGGAATGGCCAATATTGTCTTTCAGTTATCTTAAATTTTTCTACAGCCCTTTTTGGTAACACTTTACAGAAGCCCTGTCATACAGTCCTCAAAATATCAATGTCATAAGCAGTCATAAACACAAATACAATAGGTAATCAAACACTAGTATGTCGCATACAGCAAGTATGTGCAAGCTAACTATGGCCTGAGGCCACTGTATGAGCCGTCATGACCGTGTTAAGGCAGTTGTCATGAATTTACAGTAGTAGTGACTGCTTATAACATCCCTAATGTCATTGTTATGTATGGCAGCGAACAGTATGTTGTAAAGCATTACCTGTTAAGTCATTGTTATGACAGCGAAAAGTAGGTTGTATGACAGGGAGTTTATGTAAAGTGTTACCCGCCATTTTGCCCTGCACCTCCATGGCTCTTGCTCCTATCTCCGAGGCTCACACTGGCGTGGTTCTCCTGTTCAGTGTGTCGGAGTCGGTGTCCCTGTTCCGTTTGCCCCCCAGGCGGTCCAGGGTGCCCATGCCCCTCTCTCTCTCCATGGTGCCAGTGGACAGAGGTGGCTGCTGGGGGGTAGGACCGGAGGACGACAAGGTATTCAGCGGCGCAATGGCAGTGGCGCCAGCCACTGCATTCTGACCCGCCGCAGAGAGGTTGGACTTGGAGAGAGAAGGCAGGGTACCGCTCATCATCACCCCCACTTCCTCTTTGGGGAAGTAGTTGTGCAGCTGGTAGAGGGAGGCCCGGTCCACCGTGCCGTAGAGGGGGGGCCCGCCACCACCAAGACTACCCATCTTGGAGTCCCGGGTCAGGGTATACATGGAGATATCGCCCCCTACTCCTCCACCAGCATGGTGTTGGTTGGGCAGAGTGGCCACGGAGAAAGATGGGGCAGACGGTGGTAATGCAAAACTCTTGGCGCCTGTGGGTGAGGTGTCACGGGGGGAGCGTGGCGGGTCGGTAGAGTGCGAGCTGGAGCGGGAGTGCCGGCGGAAGCGGTAGCTGGGCAGGCGGAGCATGGCGTGCGTGGTGCTCTTGAAGAGTTCGGTACGCGAGCGGCAGCGCAGCTCCTTGTTCTTCTCGATGTAAATGTTGACGGCCAGGACGCCCACCATCTCAGCCAGGATGAAGGAGAGGCCTCCAAAGTAGAAGGACCAGCCGTACGAGTAATGCCACTTCTTGTCCTCGTCCTTCTTGGGCGAGATGTCGCTCAGCGCCGCAGAGATGTACACGATCACGCCGATGATGTTGCTCAGGCCTGGAGGACAGAGAAAGAAGGTGTGAGACCTGTAAAAAAGGTCTGTGAGATATGGACTGGAATACAGTGCATTCGGAAAGTTTTCAGACCCCTTCACTTTTTCCACATTTTGTTACATTACAGCCTTTTAAAAAATGTTTTACTAATCCTCATCAATCTACACACAACACCCCATAATGACAAAGCAAAAACAGGTTTTTAGACATTTTTTATTTATTTTTAATTTTTTACATAAGCATTCAGGCCCTTTGCTATGAGACTCGAAATTGAGCTCAGGTGCATCCTGTTTCCATTGATCATCCTTGAGTTGAGCTCAGGTGCATCCTGTTTCCATTGATCATCCTTGAGATGTTTCTACAACTTGATTGGAGTCCATGTCACGACTTCCGCCGAGGCTGCCTCCCCTCCTTGTTCGGGCAGGCTTCGGCGTTCGTCGTCACCGGAGTACTAACCACTGCCGCCCCAATCATCATCACAATTGTCTTGTCAATCACACACACCTGGTTCTATTCTCCTAATTAGTCTGTGTATAAGTGTTCCCTCTGCCCCCTTGTCCTTGTGGGTGATTGTTTATTTGTGGAGGTTAGTGAAGCTCGGTGGAGCTCGTGTATTGTGTATTGACAGGAGTATTTTTCCCGTATGCCTTGTAATTTCCAGTGCGCCTGTTTTGTGCCCTGGAGTGTGTTTGACGCATTTCCGCGTAAACCTGTATTTTGCGGATTAAAGCCTGTTATTCTGTGATTTACCCTCCTGCGCCTGACTCCTTCATCACCACCTCATCACAGTCCACCTGTGGTAAATTCAATTGACTGGACATGATTTGGAAAGGCACACACTTGTCTATATAAGGTCATGAGCCATGAGGTCGAAGGAATTGTCAGTAGAGCTCAGAGACAGGATTGTGTCGAGGCAGGTTACCAAAAAATTTCTGCAGCATTGAAGGTCCCAAGAACACATCAATCTACACACAATACCCCATAATGACAAAGCAAAAATATGTTTTTAGATGTTTTTTAAAAATGTTCTAAAAAAATAAAATACAAGTATTCATATAAGTAACTTCATATAATGAAAAACTTAAATATCACATTTACATAAGTATTCAGACCCTTTACTCAGTACTTTGTTGAAGCACCTTTGGCAGCGGTAACAGCATTGAGTCTTCTTGGGTATGACGCTACAAGCTTGGCACACCTGTATTTGGGGAGTTTCTCCCATTCTTCTCTGCAGATCTTCTCAAGATCTGTTAGGTTGGATGGGGAGCGTTGCTGCACAGCTATTTTCAGGTCTCTCCAGAGATGTTTGATCGGGTTCAAGTCCAGGCTCTGGCTGGGCCACTCAAGGACATTCAGAGATTTGTCCCGAAGCCACTCGTGCATTGTCTTGGCTGTGTGCTTAGGGTCGTTATCCTGTTGGAAGGTGAACCTTCGCCCCAGTCTGAGGTCCTAAGCGCTCTGGAGCAAGTTTTCATCAAGGATCTCTCTGTACTTTGCTCCGTTCATCTCTCCCTCGATCCTGACTAGTCTCCCAGTCCCTGCCACTGAAAAACATCCCCACAGCATGATGCTGCCAACACAATGCTTCACCGTAGGGATGGTGCCAGGTTTCCTCCATACGTGACGCTTGGCATTCAGGCCAAAGAGTTCAATCTTGGTTTCATAAGACAAGAGAATCTTATTTCTCATGGTCTGAGAGTCTTTAGGTGCCTTTAACTGTGGAGTGGCTTCGGTCTGGCCACTCTAACATAAAGGCCTGATTGGTGGAGTGCTGCGGAGATAGTTGTCCTTCTGGAAGGTTCTCCCATCTCTACAGAGGAACTCTAGAGCTCTGTCAAAGTGACCATCTTGTTCTTGGTCACCTCCCTGACCAAGGCCCTTCTCCCCTGATTGCTCCGTTTGGCCGGGCGGCCAGATCTAGAAAGAGTCTTGGTGGTTCCAAACTTCTTCCATTTAAAAGTGATGGAGGCCACTGTGTTCTTGGGGACCTTCAATGCTTCCCCAGATCTGTGCCTCAACACAATCCTGTCTCGGAGCTCTACGGACAATTCCTTCGACCTCATGGCTTGGTTTTTGCTCTGACATGCACTGTCAACTGTTGGACCTTATATAGACATACAGTGGGGGAAAAAAGTATTTAGTCAGCCACCAATTGTGCAAGTTCTCCCACTTAAAAAGATGAGAGAGGCCTGTAATTTTCATCATAGGTACACGTCAACTATGACAGACAAATTGAGAGAAAAAAATTCCAGAAAATCATATTGTAGGATTTTTAATGAATTTATTTGCAAATTATGGTGGAAAATAAGTATTTGGTCACCTACAAACAAGCAAGATTTCTGGCTCTCACAGACCTGTAACATCTTCTTTAAGAGGCTCCTCTGTCCTCCACTCGTTACCTGTATTAATGGCACCTGTTTGAACTTGTTATCAGTATAAAAGACACCTGTCCACAACCTCAAACAGTCACACTCCAAACTCCACTATGGCCAAGACCAAAGAGCTGTCAAAGGACACCAGAAACAAAATTGTAGACCTGCACCAGGCTGGGAAGACTGAATCTGCAATAGGTAAGCAGCTTGGTTTGAAGAAATCAACTGTGGGAGCAATTATTAGGAAATGGAAGACATACAAGACCACTGATAATCTCCCTCAATCTGGGGCTCCACGCAAGATCTCACCCCGTGGGGTCAAAATGATCACAAGAACGGTGAGCAAAAATCCCAGAACCACACGGGGGGACCTAGTGAATGACCTGCAGAGAGCTGGGACCAAAGTAACAAAGCCTACCATCAGTAACACACTACGCCGCCAGGGACTCAAATCCTGCAGTGCCAGACGTGTCCCCCTGCTTAAGCCAGTACATGTCCAGGCCCGTCTGAAGTTTGCTAGAGTGCATTTGGATGATCCAGAAGAGGATTGGGAGAATGTCATATGGTCAGATGAAACCAAAATAGACCTTTTTGGTAAAAACTCAACTCGTCGTGTTTGGAGGACAAAGAATGCTGAGTTGCATCCAAAGAACACCATACCTACTGTGAAGCATGGGGGTGGAAACATCATGCTTTGGGGCTGTTTTTCTGCAAAGGGACCAGGACGACTGATCCGTGTAAAGGAAAGAATGAATGGGGCCATGTATCGTGAGATTTTGAGTGAAAACCTCCTTCCATCAGCAATGGCATTGAAAATGAAACGTGGCTGGGTCTTTCAGCATGACAATGATCCCAAACACACCGCCCGGGCAACGAAGGAGTGGCTTCGTAAGAAGCATTTCAAGGTCCTGGAGTGGCCTAGCCAGTCTCCAGATCTCAACCCCAAAGAAAATCTTTGGAGGGAGTTGAAAGTCCGTGTTGCCCAGCGACAGCCCCAAAACATCACTGCTCTAGAGGAGATCTGCATGGAGGAATGGGCCAAAAATCCAGCAACAGTGTGTGAAAACCTTGTGAAGACTTACAAAAAACATTTGACCTGTGTCATTGCCAACAAAGGGTATATAACAAAGTATTGAGAAACTTTTGTTATTGACCAAATACTTATTTTCCACCATAATTTGCAAATAAATTCATAAAAAATCCTACAATGTGATTTTCTGGAGAAAAAAAAATCTCATTTTGTCTGTCATAGTTGACGTGTACCTATGATGAAAATTACAGGCCTCTCTCATCTTTTTAAGTGGGAGAACTTGCACAATTGGTGGCTGACTAAATACTTTTTTCCCCCACTGTATGTGCCTTTCCAAATCATGCCCAATCAATTGAATTTACCACAGATGGATTCAATCAAGTTGTAGAAACATCTCAAGGATGATCAATGGAAACAGGATGCACCTGAGCTCAATTCTGAGTCTCATAGCAAAGGGCCTGAATACTTATGTAAATAAGGTATTTCTGTTTTATATTTGTTACCATTTTCAAAAATGTCTAAAAACCAGTTTTTGCATCGTCATTCTGTGGTGTTGTGTATAGATTGATGAGGATTATATATATTTTTTAATCAATTTTAGAATAAGGCTGTAACATAACAAAATGTGGAAAAAGTCAAGGGGTCTGAATACTTTCTGAATGCACTGTATATACTGAACAAAAATATAAACGCAACATGTAAAGTGTTGGTCCCATGTTTCATGAGATGAAATAAAAGATCCCAGCAATTTTCCATACACACAAAAGCTTATTTCTCGCAAATTTTGTCCACTAATTTGTTTACATCCCTTTTGGTGAGCATTTCTCCTTTGCCAAGATAATACATCCACCTGACAGGTGTGGAATATCAAGAAGCTGATTAAACAGCATGATCATTACACAGGTGCACCTTGTGTTGGGGACAATAAAAGACCACTCTAAAATGTGCAGGTTTGTCACACAACACAATGCCACAGATGTCTCAAGTTTTGAGGGAGCGTGCAATTGGCATGCTGACTGCAGGAATGTCCACCACAGCTGTTGCCAGAAAATTGAATGTTAAATTCTCTACCATAATGTCGTTTTAGAGAATTTGGCAGTACGTCCAACCGGCCTCACAACCGCAGACCATGTGTAACCATGCCAGCCCAGGACCTCCACATCCGGCTTCTTCACCTGTGGGATCGTCTGAGACCAGCCACCCGGACAGCTGATGAAACTGAGGAGTATTTCTGTCTGTAATAAAGCCCTTTTGTGGGGAAAAACTCATTCTGATTGGCTGGGTTGGCCTGGCTCTCAAGTGGGTGGGCCTATGGCCTCCCAGATTCACCCAATGCATGCGCCCCTGCCCAGTCATGTGAAATCCATAGATTAGGGCCTAACACATGTATTTCAATTGACTGATTTCGTTATATGAACTGTAACTCAGTAAAATATTTTAAATTGTTGCATGTTCCGTTTATATTTTTGTTCAGTATAATATGCCATTGATTTTCTCTGAGCTTTTCCATAAGGGGATGGGGGAATGGCTCTAAACGAACCATCTACATTTGATTACTTCTCTCGTGTTATGTCTAATTGACCCATATCGCCACTTAGGAGGTAGTAAATGGCATAATACTAAATAAACAATCTTTATCACTTCTGTTGTGTCGTGCCTCGTTGACCTGAGTCTCCACTCAAGGGATGATATACTGTAAGTGGGAAATCTAAACCGCAACCAACATCATTAACATAAAAATAGTTATGGGGAGGGAAAAACAACACAAAAGTGAATATCATGCATGGATGAAAGGATGGGGATAATTATATTATCCTTAATAATAACACTATTTTCTGAGTTCAGAGACCATTGAGAACATTTAAGGCAGACTAGGGCTATTGCAGTCCATCTTAACAAGAGGAAAATTAGTATGGGACACCATTGAGCATGATTTTAACTCCAGGACTAGGCTTAATCTGTGTCCAGGAAAACAGACCCATGTGTCCTGAGTAATAGAGAAACAGTCAAGAACAAGACGCCAGCACCTTACCAGCAGCCACAAACAGGATGCCTCCTCCTAGGATGATGTTCCTCTTGCTCTTGTAGAAGCTGCTGGATGCAACACACATCGCTCCCATCAGGAGCAGTATAGCACTCAGGATGGGGAAGATACTGGAGGCTCGGACCACACCTGCAGACAGAGGGGGGTGAAATGTTCCTTAGTTGCTGATCTAAGGTCAGTTTCTTGTTGACAGTGGTTAATGGTTATAGTTATGATTTGGGGAGGGTAATTTGATCCTAGATCTGTGCCTATGGGTATCTTCTACCTGGAACTCTGCTTAGATAGGACTTCATATCCTCTGATAATATTGGAAGCGTCTGCAACCTTATTTTGTCATAACCTGCTGAGCGTAGCAAATATATATTAAAGATGAATGATTAAAGATGATGTTGTGAAGGTGACTTGCAGGGGTTGGAACCGAAATGACACTGTTCCGACCAGCAAAATAAAGTTCTGAACCAGTTTGAACCCCCCAAAAAGTACCGGTTTATATTATTCCTTTCTGTTCCTTTTTACACCTCAAAAATTGTCATTTCTTTACATTTAGCTGTATATTAAATTACTTCACCAATCAGATAGAGTAGCTAAGCGAGCAGGTAAGTGATTTAGTCTGTAAAGTCGTTAAGAGTTAATTATATTTTGCCGTAACAGCATGGTTGAATCTTAATGAAATACAAACACACACACTGTGCTGCCAGTCACAGTGTAAGGCGCGTGATGCAACTGAAATGTTGCGGGTGAGGAGAGCGCAAGACAGGATGGAGGAAGCTTGCCTTGATGCGCTGGGCATCTTGTTATGATGCATTATCTGAATTACGCCCACAGAATTATACCTATACTTGAATGTCATTGAACTTCTGAGTTGATTTAACGTTGGACCAGAACAAACGTAGCTAGCTAACAAGCTTGTGTGTGCAGAGCAGCACTATAATTAAAAACACATCTTACCTTTTTGTACTTAATAAATCGAATGTGATAACTATCGTATCTCTCCCTAACTTCTGAATCAGGCTTGTAATGTCATCAGGTGGCTACAGTAACATATGCAGGTAGCCTACACACACGCACACCCACTGGCAAAGATTTCCAGTTGACAGGCAGACGCTGGAATAAGTTTCTGAGTGACAGAGAGAGGGCTTTGCATAGGGGCTTTGTTGCGGACTGGAAAGAAATGTCCGGAATGTAAAAGAGCGTTATTAACCAGTTCCCGTGCTTTTAAAATAACGGTTCCGTTCTGGAACGGCATACATCACTTTTGTTTCCGGTTTGGGTTCTGATCCTCAAATAATGTTGTTATTTTCCAATTTTCTATTCTGTTCCCTGAACTGGTTCCAACCCTTGCTTTTCAGGCTGCATATGTGACATTATCACCATCTGGAGTAAAGTAATATGCCACACTAAGCATTTATTTTGTAACACCTTTCATAAATGACTAAATGTATCCTACATTCTAATTCCAACCAATGTTCTGGTTTGATTGGAATATCCTATTGCTTTGTCATAATTCCCTCTGGCAAATGAGAGATACTCATTGAGTTAGCTAATTCATAACCTTGCACCTCGGCATTCACTGCTGCTGTTTCCCAGCTTTTCTTTTCAGTTCGACATCACATCTTTCTAGTGACATCCTCACACTGCCCACGTCCCCTCACTTACGCAGGAGATACTCTGCTGCATCCTGATCATAGTCTGCATCGTCCGGGAAATGATTGATCTGAGAACACACTCCTCTCTTCAGCCCTGAGAGAGAGAGAGAGAGAGAGAGAGAGAGAGAGAGAGAGAGAGAGAGATCTGGGGCTTGGTGAATTAAGTATTCATTTTAATACCTTTTCAAGATGGTTAAAACAAGTCGGTCATTACAGTCAAATGACCCACAAACAACCCTTTGTACTCAGAGGAAAACAACAGACTACGTCAATAATCAAGGAGCTGTAATCAGCATGTTGAGTATCCGCCACAAATATTATATCAAATGGCTGTGTTGTTGTCCTCTTCTGCTGTCTATCACTTACTGTAGGTAACAAATTCTCCTCTTTGACATTCGCTAGTCTCACGTTGCCATACCTTCAAAATCAAGTCATTATCACGCCTGCTCCTCGACGAGACTAGTTTCTGCCAGATGACAATTGGGTAAAAATGCTAATGTTTGGTCATGTTAGACAAGCGACTCTTGAAATTCGCCTTTTCTTCTCCTGACTGTCTGCCACTGTCCACTGGATGTCCTCTAAATGCACTCCAGGTCGCATTGTGTCGAACTGTGTCTTTCATGTTTGAGCTGCTCATCAACTGCTCAACACATACACTCTTGTACACACACCTGCACATGCACGTATGTGCACATAAACGAGCATGCACACACACATGGGCACATATGTAAACACACTGAGCCAAACACAGTGATCCACCCCCCCCCCCCCCCCACACACACACACACACACACACACACACACTGAGCCATTCATCTGACCCCACCAAAACCCTGGAAATACACTGGTCCCCCATCACCCCTCCACACACACACACACACACACACACACACACACACACATACACACACACACACACACACATCTAGTCCTCCCCTTACCCTCTAGACAGCAGATCCTCCAGAGGCCAGAGTGGGTGAGGGCTCCAGGGTCTTTTTTGTCCTTGTTGTTGGGGTCGTCCTGGGAGGAGTTAGCCGTGCTGTTGCAGATGAAGGCCCGTGCGTACAGCCAGTAGTCTGTCCCAATGGCCACCGCCATCAGGGAAAAGGCTGCAAACGCCCCCAAAGTGGTGAGGACAACCTGGATCCCCTTCTCCCACCACACCATGACTGGGCCGGAGAGAGGGAGGAGAGAGAGGGATGAGAGAGAGGGATTGAGAAAGAGAAGAGCTGGTGAAATGGTAAAGACGCCTGAAAAGCTACAAATCAAGAGTATCCTCTTGAATGGTGTGGGTTTGTCTGTGTTTCAAAGGAAACAACCGATATACCACAATTGTCCCATTATTGACCTGCATGTTCAAAACCTGGTGTCTCGATTTCAATTAATAAGACTTTATTAATCCCAGAGGGCCAATTAGAAAGGCATTGTCAGTGCTTTGTCTCTCTGATGACTTGTAATTGTTTTCATACAAAAGCCCTTTTTGAGAAAGGCAAAAAACTAAAACTTCTGTATAATTGTCTAGTCTAGTTACAAAATAATTACTTGGGTAAATCATTTTGTTTTCTTTTCAATCCAGGCATCTGTTAAATGTGTGTGTACTGTGTGTGTGTGTTTGGTGAAGTGTGTTTCTAGTGAAATGTGTGTTACCTTGGGGCATGCCTTTGCCTTTTGCCTCCATGTCTGTAGCTTGCTGTTCCTAGTCAGTGAAGAGTGCGCATTCAGAGTCCCCTCTGTCCAAGCAGCATCCATCGACCGCTCTTCCTCTCTCGTTTCCTCTCTTCTCTCTCGTTCCCCTGTCTCTCTCTATTTCTCTGCTCCCTAGTTCTTCCCGTCTCACTGTCTCTGTCTCTATGTGAACGTGGATCCGCAACTAAAGGTTCCTTCCCTCTTCTCAGTAAGTGGTCATGGCACTGGCAGGCATCTCAGCGTTGCTCCTGTGGGGTGAAGAATAAGAAGAAAAATAAAGGATTCAATAAATTAATGTGACATGAGAGGGAAGCCAAGTAAAATGTTATTTCTCAACCTTACAAAAAGATAAATCATTAATACAACTGGGTTTGTACATTCTGCGATGACCAACCCGAAAGGAAAGAAACTGATTCGTTTCCACATTTCACCTAGAGAGAGATAGAGGGATATATAAAGCAAGAGGGAACGGGAAAGAAGCGAGAGAGCGTGTTCTATTCCATTGCCATGGCAACAGCAAATTCCAAAGACTAGGACTGAACAGAACACGGCGAGTGAGAAGCGAGTGGGGGGTGAGGGGCAGCTGAAACAGCTGAGGGGATTTTGCTGCTATTAAACCGAATATAAATACTGATGCTGAAGACCTCAATATAATATATATTTTTAATAGAGTGAGTCATTTCAAAGCCATGCTAACATATGCAGAATCCTTATAGTGTACTGTTCAATTAAGGAAGTAATCAAGAGCATTCAGATGATGACAAGCACTTCAGTATAATTATGTTGTATGTGAGCATCTTTGGTACACTACATAGCCAGAAGTATATGGACACCTGCTCGTCTAACATTTCATTCCAAAATCATGGGCATTAATATGGAGGTGTTCCCCCCTTTGCTGCTATAACAGCCTCCACTCTTCTGGGAAGGGTTTCCACTAGATGTTGGAACTTTGCTTCGGTGACTTGCTTCCATTCAGCAACAAGAGCATTAGTGAGGTCGGGCACTGATGTTGGGCATTAGGCCTGGCTCGCAGTCGGCATTCCAATTCATCCCAAAGGTGTCCGATGTGGTTGTGGTCAGGGATCTGTGCAGGCCAGTCAAGTTCTTCCACACCGATCTCGAAAAACAATTTCTGTATGGACCTCGCTTTGTGCACGGGGGCATATTCATGCTGAAACAGGAAGGGGTCTTCCACAAACTGTTGCCACAAAGTTGGAAGCGCAGAATCGTCTAGAATGTCATTATATACTGTAGCATTAAGATTTCCCTTCACTGGAACTAAGGGGCCTAGCCCGAACCATGAAAAACAGCACCAGGCCATTATTCCTCCTCCACCAAACGTTACAGTTGGCACTATGCATTCGGGCAGATAACATTCACCTGGCATCCGCCAAACCCAGATTTATCCGTCGGACTACCAGATGGTGAAGCGTGATTCATTACTCCAGAGAACGCCTTTCCACTGCTCCAGAGTCCAATGGCGGCGAGCTTTACACCACTCCAGCCGATGCTTACACCACTTCAGCCGAGGCATTGCGCATGGTAATCTTAGGCTTGTGTGTGGCTGTTCGGCCATGGAAACGTATTTAATGAAGCTCCCGGTGAACAGTTACTGTGCTGACGTAGCTTCCAGAAGCAGTTTTGAACTCGGTAGTGAGTGTTGCAACCGAGGACAGAAGATTTTTTGCTTGTGTGGCCTACCACCTCGCGGCTGAGCTGTTGTTGCTCCTAGACGTTTCCACTTCACAATAACAGCACTTACAATTGACCGGGGCAGCTCTAGCATGGCAGAAATTTGACAAACTTACTTGTTGGAAAGGTGTTATCTTATGACGGTGCAATGTTGAAAGTCACTGAGCTCTTCAGTATGGGCCATTCTACTGCCAGTGTTTGTCTATGGAGATTGCATGGCTGTGTGCTCGATTTTATATACCTGTCAGCAACGGTGTGGCTGAAATAGCCGAATCCACTGATTTGAAGGGGTGTCCATATACTTTTGTATTATAAGCTGCAAATGTATATACATTATGATTCATGAGCAGCAAATACAGTTATGTTTACAGTAATTACCTATAATGAAATGTCTTCTATATTCAATTCTGTGATGGATGCAGCATGCATCAAATTATTTAGTGTACACTACCGGTCAAAACTTTTAGAACACCTACTCATTCAAGGGTTTATCTTTATTTTTGCTATTTTCTACATTGTAGATTAATAGTGAAGACATCAACACTATGAAATAACATATATGGAATCATGTAGTAACCAAAAAAGTGTCAAAATATATTTGGGATTTGAGATTCTTCAAATAGCCACCCTTTGCCTTGATGACAGCTTTGCACACTCTTGGCATTCTCTCAACCAGATTCACCTGGAATGCTTTTCCAACAGTCTTGAAGGAGTTCTCACATATGCTGAGTACTTGTTGGCTGCTTTTCCTTCACTCTGCAGTTCGACTCATCCCAAACCATCTCAATTTGTTTGAGGTCGGGGATTGTGGAGGCCAGGTCATCTGATGCAGCTCTCCATCACTCTCCTTCTTGTTCTAATAGACCTTACACAGCCTGGAGGTGTGTTGGGTTATTGTTCTGTTGAAAAACAAATGATAGTCCCCCAGATGGGATGGCGTATTGCTGCAGAATGTTGTGGTAGCCATGCTGGTTAAGTGTGCCTTGAATTCTAAATAATCACAGACAGTGTCACCAGCAAAGCACCCCCACACCATAACACCTCCTCCTCCATGCTTTACGGTGGGAAATACACATGCGGAGATCATCCGTTCAACCACACCGCGTCTCACAAAGACACGCCAGTTGAAACCAAAAATCTCAAATTTGGACTACAGACCAAAGGATACATTTCCACTGGTCTAATGTCCATTGCTCGTGTTTCTTGGCCCAAGCAAGTCTCTTCTTCTTATTGGTGTCCTTTAGTAGTGGTTTCTTTGCAGCAATTCGATCATGAAGGCCTGATTCACACAGTCCCCTGTGAACAGTTGATGTTGAGATGTGTCTGTTACTTGAACTCTGTCAAGCATATATTTGGACTGCAATCTGATGTGCAGTTAACTCTAATGAACTTATCCTCTTTAGCAGAGGTAACTCTGGGTCTTCCTTTCCTGTGGCGGTCCTCATGAGAGCCAGTTTCATCATAGCGCTTGATGGTTTTTGTGACTGCTCTTGAAGAAACTTTAAAAGTTATTGAAATGTTCCGTATTGACTGACCTTCATGTCTTAAAGTAATGATGGACTGTCGTTTCTCTTTGCTTATTTGAGCTGTTCTTGCCATAATATGGACTTGGTCTTTTACCAAATAGTGCTATCTTCTGTATACTCCCCTACCTTGTCACAACACAACTGATTGGCTCAAAAACATGAAGAAGGAAAGAAATTCCACAAATGAACTTTTAACAAGGCACACCTGTTAATTGAAATGCATTCCAGGTGACTAACTCATGAAGCTGATTAAGAGAATGCCAAGAGTGTGCAAAGCTGTCATCAAGGCAAAGGGTGGTGTCACGATCGTTATGAGATGAAGCGGACCAAGGCGCAGCGTGATAAGCGTACATTCTTTATTAGTGTACACACACAAACCAAAACAATAAACCAAACGATACGTGAAGTCCTAGGTTATACACAAAACCTTACGGAACAAGATCCCACAACCTAACATGCCAAAAGGCTGCCTAAGTATTGTCCCCAATCAGAGACAACGAGCTACAGCTGTCTCTGATTGGGAACCACCCTGGCCAACATAGAAACTAAACGATCTAGAACAAAACATAGAAAACTAAACATAGAACATCCACACCCTGGCTCAAATATTAAGAGTCCCCAGAGCCAGGGCGTGACAGTACCCCCCCCCAAAGGCGCGGACTGTGACCGCGCCACACCAACACAACAGGGTAGGGGCCGGGTGGGCATTCCGCCTCGGAGGCGGATCCGGCTCCGGGCGTGACCACCACTCTCTCTCTACCCCCCCGTTGCGCCCCTGGTCTGGTCCCGCTGGCCGGAGCTGGACTGAACACCGGTGGAGCGGATTGCTCTGGCTCCGGAGTGGAGCAGCTGACCGGTGCCGGACCAGGCACCGGTGGAACAGGCACGGACCGTGCCGGACTGACGACGCGCACCACTGGCTTGGTGCGGGGAGCAGGAACAGTCCGGACCGGGCTGGCGACGCGCACCACAGGCTTGGTGCGAGGGACAGGAACAGGCCGGACCGGGCTGGCGACGCGCACCACTGGCTTGGTGCGGGGAGCAGGAACGGGCCGGACCGGGCTGACGACGCGCACCACTGGCTTGGTGCGGGGAGCAGGAACGGGTCGGACCGGGCTGGCGACGTGCACCACTGGCTTGGTGCGAGGGACAGGAACAGGCCGGACCGGGCTGGCGACGCGCACCACTGGCTTGGTGCGGGGAGCAGGAACGGGCCGGACCGGGCTGGCGACGCTCACCACTGGTTTGGTGCGAGGGACAGGAACAGGCCGGACCGGGCTGGCGATGCGCACCACTGGTTTGGTGCGAGGGACAGGAACAGGCCGGACCGGGCTGGCGACGCGCACCACTGGTTTGGTGCGAGGGACAGGAACAGGCCGGAACGGGCTTGCGACGCGCACCACTGGCTTGGAGCGGGGAGCAGGAATGGGCCGGACCGGGCTGGCGACGCGCACCACTGGCTTGGTGCGAGGGACAGGAACAGGCCGGACCGGGCTGGCGACGCGCACCACTGGTTTGGTGCGAGGGACAGGAACAGGCCGGACCGGGCTGGCGACGCGCACCACTGGTTTGGTGCGAGGGACAGGAACAGGCCGGGCTGGACTGTGGAGACGGCCTGGAGGTCTGGAGCGGAGAGCTGACACAACCCGTCCTGGCTGAATGCCTATTTCCACACAATCAGTGTGAGGCATCAGCACAGGACGTACAGGGCTGTGCACTCGTACTGGCACTACAGCACGTGGCACTGGCGCAGGATATCCGGGACCGAGGAGGGGTACTGGAGGCCACGAGCGTTGAGCCGGCACACTCCGTCCTGGCTGCATGCCCACCTTAGCACGACACGTGCGTGGTGCTAGCACAGGACGTACAGGACTGTGCCGGAACACTCGCGGCACAGTACGTGGCTCCGAATAACACGGAACCTGCCCAGTCTCACGCTGCCTAGCTTGAGTATGGGGAGTTGGCTCTGCTCTACCTCTAGTCTCCGCCAACCACCCTTCCAGCCCCCCAAACCTGGTGGCCTCCTCTCCTAGTCCGCCGATTCGTCCTGTAGCTGCCTCCAGCAGGGGTTGCCTCTCGCGTGTCCGTCGTCGGCACGGTTGGCGCCGTTTCTCCTCTCCTGCCTGGGCATTTACTTTTGCCCATGGCCCTCTGCCCGCGAATATGTCCTCCCATGACCACCATTCGCCCACCTGGGACATTGCCAACTTCTCCTCCTGGGCACGCTGCTTGGTCCTCTGGTGGTGGGATCTTCTGTCACGATCGTTATGAGATGAAGCGGACCAAGGCGCAGCGTGATAAGTGTACATTCTTTATTAGTGTACACACACGAACCAAAACAATAAACCAAACGATACGTGAATTCCTAGGTTATACACAAAACCTTACGGAACAAGATCCCACAACCTAACATGCCAAAAGGCTGCCTAAGTATGGTCCCCAATCAGAGACAACGAGCTACAGCTGTCTCTGATTGGGAACCACCCTGGCCAACATAGAAACTAAACGATCTAGAACAAAACATAGAAAACTAAACATGGAACATCCACACCCTGGCTCAACAATTAAGAGTCCCCAGAGCCAGGGCGTGACAGGTGGCTATTTGAAGAATCTCAAATATAAAATATATTTAGATTTGTTTAACACTTTTTTGGTTACTACATGATTCCATATGTGTTATTTCATAGTTTTGATGTCTTCACTATTATTCTACAATGTAGAAAATAGTAAAAATAAAGAAAAACCCTTGAATGAGTAGGTTTTCTAAAACTTTTGACTGGTAGTGTACTGCACTAGGAACATTGTAATGATAATAGAATAGCCCAAAAGTTAGGTGATGGTCATCAAACAGTGGTTTATGACTCACAATTTCTACCCCAGTTTCTTTCAAGAAGTAAAGGTAGTTAAATCTGTACCTGAACCTACCGAAACTCGTTTGAATCATACACAAAGATGATTGTCCTCCATATCAAAACCAATAGAAGATTTTTGTTTGTTTCTGTATGTACTTTTTAGAAAGCAAGTAACCCAGATGCACAGATATGGAGGAGTTTTGCCATCGCCAACATAAACACAGGAAGATGATTAAGGACAAACCAGAACCACATACTGAAATGCATGAACATACAGCTTTGGGGTATATGTGGCATTAAATGATGGGTGATTGGGGAGATTCAGTAAGAATATAACAATGCAGAGTGAACAAAAAGTATGGGCTAAACAATAAGAGGATAACCTCGATATTAGTTGCACTTCTCCACACTGTGCACATTTGATTAAAAACATTATGCACAAAGAGACAAACATACATGCAGAAGCACACACAGAGATACACACTTTCCTTATCTTTGGTCTGAATCCTGAAAAGTCACTTGATTTGCAAACTGTATGTATGTAAAGTGTATTTTCAGTAAAGAAGAACTGTGCAGCAAAAGCTGAGGAGAGGCAAGTAGCTCTGAATACTTACTGTGTATGTGCGTGTGCGCGTGTGTGCATGAAAACATAAAGCAGAACCATTGCATTGATAAGGCTATTGCTATCTGCGAAAAGAAATGCACAACACCCTGGTTAAGCAATTATGCCTTTATAGTCATTGACCAATTGCTGCTTGAATGGATAAGAAAATGTGTTGTATACTGAAGCATCATAGAAAGCAGAAGCAAAACCATTGCATTGATTAACTGATGAATATACTGATGAATGTACATGGACAAAGACAACCTACAAGTGGAGATCTGTCTAAATGTTGAGCTTCCTCTGTCTTCTAGGCTAAGATCAATACATTCTGTTTATTAACATCTACCACTTGTGAGACCAGCAGAGAGAGAGAGAGACATGCTAGGTAAAAAACCTGACAAAATCAGATTTAAAATAAGATGTTGCGTTATTAACAACTTTTTAGTAGTCTCTATTCAGCCTGAACACAGTTGATGCACACTAGGAATATTTGCATACTTTGCTGAGGTAAATAGTCTCACGGCTATTGATTTGGGCATAGCTGTCATTGTACAAAGTAGGTTACTTTTCTGTGTAAACATTATTTCAACGCAAAATTGTTTAGGATAATTATGTGCATTTCGATATGTAGGCTAATATTGTGAAAATGAATACTAGGCTAATTATGCTCTGCAAACACTTAACACGCACATCGCTCTTTTTATCATGCAAATATAAAAAAACTTTCAGAAGCATTTCATATGCATATTGCATACAATCCTTATTCTAATTCTAAAGATTAATAAGGAAAGATTCTTGCTTAATGTCTTACCTGTAATTGTTGAACTTCTGCAGTGGTGATGGTGGTCGGACTCTGTATGCGAGGCATGGGCAAGAGACGTGAGAAAGAACAGTAGATATTGCGAGAATGAACGTTGAGGGATGTGGTGGGAGTTGGTTGGGGGGTGGGGGTGGGGTTATAGCCCATGAACGTGATGCCAGTCTCAAGTGGATTTATTAGGCCTACATGAAACTGGTGTGTAAATGTCAGCCATTTTTGTTGAGGAGTTGTTAATCCATGCTTTGTAGTGCTGTGATAAGATATTGTGTAAAATAATGAATTTGAAGAATTTATCTGCACTGTAGGCCTATGTTTGTTAGCTAGCCTGATAGTTTTAGAGACATGATTACATAACTTTGTAATTAACTGCCAATATGCCAACATTCCATTAAAACAATGCAGTCAATCCGCAGCCATACACAGAATGAATGTCACGACTTCCGCCGAGGCTGCCTCCCCTCCTTGTTCGGGCAGGCTTCGGCGTTCGTCGTCACCGGCTTACTAGCCACTGCCGCTCCATATATCATCATTCCATTTGTCTTGTCTTGTTAATTACACACACCTGGTTCTTATCCCCTCACTAGTCCGTGTATAAGTGTTCCCTCTGCCCCCTTGTCCTTGTGGGTGATTGTTTATTGTGAGAGTAGTGTAGCGCGGTGGAGCTACTCGTACCTTGTATTGCCAGGGTAGATGGTTTCCCCTGTGCCTGTTTTCTGTTGTTGCTATCCAGCCCAATTGTGTACGACAGAATAAACTCTGTATTCGGTGATATACCCTCCTGTGCCTGACTCCTTCTATTACACTCATCACAATGAAATCAGCTGATGAATGGGACTTAGACAAGTTGTAAATGCAACTGTAGCTCAGTTGGTAGAGCATGGCGCTTGCAACGCCAGGGTTGTCGGTTCGTTTCCCACGGGGGGCCAGTATGAAAATGTATGCACCTACTAACTGTAAGTCGCTCTGGATAAGAGCGTCTGCTAAATGACTAAAATCTAAAAATTTAAGTATTATGTTGTATCATTTAATAGCACTCACAGCTTTACAATAAAATAAATTGAGACATTTATGGTCTGCATGCATTTATTTTACAGGCTATTTATACAGAACATTGCTATAAAACCTGTATAAACTGTATCTATAATTATATGATAATATTGTAGGTTGACAATCATTCTATTACACAATATCTGATATATCACATGCCTTACTTTGATTTTCTGATAACTCAGGATTATGCCTCTACTGTCATTCATTCCAATTAAACCAATATGGCTGCCATTTTCACCCCATTCTGGAACTTTGAGGGTTTATGACATAGCCCCTCTCGTAATTTAGTAGGATCTCTATGTATCCACCAAATTTTTGAACGTTGCTATGGGCAAAGCCAAACAAAGGAAGTGATGGATTCGACTTCCCTATTGCAGCGCGCTGGTGGTAAACTTGCCAGAGTCAATTGTTTGAAAGAGTCAATTTATAGAGTATACAAGTCAAGTAAACAAGTATAAATGTAAGTGTACAAGTGTAATTTTATATTTATTTCATTCCAGTTCGCTAACGTTAGCTAGAATTATTGTAGGCTAGTTCTGTTGTGATAATAACGTTAGTTGTGTTGTGTCAGAGTTAAGGCCTGGGCCATCCACCAAGTCAGTAACTATAACGATAACTCTAATGATAAACTATAGGCTACATAACTATAAAACGTTGGTGAGCATCCACACTAGAGGAAAGTTTCTAATTTATCGTTCTACAGTCCAACACCTGTCAATCAACTGATCAACACATCCTACTGCACGCTGCCTATAATAATAAGGTTATAACACAAGACCATTCATGAGGTCTCTAACGCACAGATACTGGTTCAGACCATTCAGTGCTTTCAGGGTGTGTTCATTGTCATAGTGACAACTGCAAATAATACTTAAATGTACATGTAGGCCTAATGAAAATATAGTATTTAAATGTAGCAATTCAACAACAAACGCAATTTAGCCTGCACATATTTTACAGCATGTAGTTGCCTTTTTGCTTAAGTGGTTTGCAAGTGATTTCCGTTTTTCTAATGGTTCTCAATTCCTTTGGTTCTTCTTTTTAAATGTGTGCATTTCTGTATGCAACAATGTTATCATAACCGGCCAAAAGTGATCACATCAATGCACTTTCTCTCCTCAACTTTCCCCGACATGCATTGTCTATGCTGTAGGCCTGTTTTACATTCAGTAATTAGCAAGAGCAAGCCTGCTTCTTTCCCCGAATAGGCTATTAGGCATAGTATAAATAAATATGTCAAAAATGTCATATAGCTTTTGTAGCCTATAGCTTTTCCTGGGATTTCACGAGAAGAAGAATGGCCTATTGTGGAGAGGCTTGGGTAGCCTATAGCCTGTTGCGCACGGAAACAATGTAAAAATAAGTAAAAAGCTAAATAGTAGCTAGATATTAGGCCATTCATTAGTTAATTAGGACTATAGACTAAATATTTACTTGTCAAAGTGCAAGAAAAATAAGTTAACAGATTATGAAATGGCAGTTCTGTAGTGCGTTCCTTCAGGCTGCACTCTGTGGTCCCTGGGCACGCAAAGCTCCACTATTGATTAGGCCTACGTTTTTAGACAAGAACATTATTATACCTGGGCTACAACAATTGTTATCAAGTGAATAAACACTTATTGTCCATAGGCTGTAAACTGCAGTGATGTATAGGCTAAATGTAATAACTGCTCACACATCCTGTTTTGTTTCATGATGAAATAACTGCATAGGCCAACAGTCTAGGCCTGATTATGCAACTATTTAGATCAGCTTGGGTCTATTCTCGTCCGTTTAGAAGGTCCAGAATGGTACATTAGCAGGCCACTTATGGTGAAGGTCTATTTTGTCAGGATGTAGCCCGGTGTTAAGATAAAAAAATGTATGCACGCATGACTGTAAGTCGCTTTGGATAAAAGCGTCTGCTAAATGGCATATTATATTATATTATTATTATTATAGGCCTACTGTAGGAAAATATGGGTTTCTCCTTTCCAACTCTCCGCCCGTTAATCCTGTAGCCTATTTTACATCCAGCATGCAAGAGCAAGCTTGCATCTCTCCTCCTATAGGCTATTAGTAGCACGGCCGGCCCGCTCATTAGGCAGGATTAGGCCGCCGGCTATGGCGGAAGATTGACTAAGGTGGTATTTTATGAGCAAAACTGACCAAGACACACCTCCAACAACAACACATAAAACCTCACTTAATTCTGCCCATAAACAATGACAACCAGTAGCATATGGGCTTTTGGTGTTTTACAAACGGTAGGCTTACCACATAGATGGGCATTCATAAAATTAAATTTCAGACAACACTGTAGGCTACACCTCAGTAAGCACGGGCCGATGCTGGATGTCTTATTTTGGCCTTGATTTCCACATCCACGGACATTGGTTTTTGGTCCGGTCCTGACCAAATCTGAACTAATCTTAGACATCTATGTTTGGTTCAGATTTGGTGCTGTCCAGACCGGCCTTGATTTCAACGTCCATGGACATTGAAAAATGTGAATCCGGTCCGGACCAAATCTGAACCAATCATAGATGTCTATGTTTGGTTAAGATTTTATCCAGTCTGGACCAGCCTTGATTTGGCCCAAACAAATGTCTATAAATTACTTATTTTCAACTTTCATTCAGAACCAAAAAGGAACCTGATTTCAACATCCGGAAAATACATATTTTCAATGTCTGTAAAATATGTATTTTCAACATCATGAAAATAAGTATTTTCAACTTTCAGTCAGAACCGAAAATTAACCTGATTTCAATCTCCGGAAAATACTTATTTTTCAAAGTCCAGAAAATATGCATTTTCAACCTCCTGGAAAATATGTATTTTAAACATAAGGAAAATAACTTTTCACGTTTCATTCAGAACCTAAATTGCACCTAATTTCAACATCTGGAAAATATGTATTTCAATGTAATTTTGCTTAATGGAACTATTCTAGTTTTGGTCCCGCCTATTGCGGCAAAATGGCGAGGACCGGCCCTGATTAGTAAGCTAAAGAAAATAAGTGGAAATAAGTGTCCAACAAGTTTTTGTAGTTTGGCTTTTCCTGGGACTCCACAAGATTTAAAAGAAATAGCCATGGCAGCGGAGAGGCCAGGTGCATAATTGCACCACAGAACAATGAAGACAGACAGGCTAGAGATGTAGCCTATAGCCTATGTTAGAAGCGTATGCATAGTAGCCCATAATTCATAAGCTCAATGTTAGGCTTCATACTGCAGTGAATATATCCAGACAATTTACAAAGGGAAAGAAAATTGTTGATCATAGGTAGCCTACACTACATACAGTTGAAGTCAGAAGTTTACATACCACTTAGCCAAATACATTTAAACTCAGTTTTTCACAATTCCTGACATTTAATCCTAGTAAAAATTCCCTGTCTTAGGTCAGTTAGAATTACCACTTTATTTTAAGAATGTCAGAATAATAGCAGAGAGAATTATTTATTTAAGCTTTTATTTATTTATCACATTCCCAGTGGGTCAGAAGTTTACATACAGGTAGCATTGCCTTTAAATTGTTTAACTTGGGTCAAACGTTTCGGGTAGCCTTCCACAAGCTTCCCACAATAGGTTGGGTGAATTTTGGCCCATTCCTCCTGATAGAGCTGGTGTAACTGAGTCAGGTTAGTAGGCCTCCTTGCTCGCACACGCTTTTTCAGTTCTGCCCACACATTTTCTATAGGATTGAGGTCAGGGCTTTGTGATGGCCACTCCAATACCTTGACTTTGTTGTCCTTAAGCCATTTTGCCACAACTTTGGAAGTATGCTTGGGGTCATTGTCCATTTGGAAGACCCATTTGCAACCAAGCTTTAACTTCCTGACTGATGTCTTGAGATGTTGCTTTAATATATCCACATAATTTTCCTTCCTTATGATGCCATCTATTTTGTGAAGTGCACCAGTCCCTCCTGCAGCAAAGCACCCCCACAGCATAGAGTTATTCGGCTTGCAAGCCATCCCCTTTTTCCTCCAAACAGTTATATTTTTGTTTCATCAGACAAGAGGACATTTCTCCAAATAGTACGATGTTTGTCCCCATG